GGTTCTCAATTTTGGGAGCTTTGGAGAAACCTTTTTCATCCATCCAAATCCATAGATCTAAGATGCAAGGAATGAAGGCCCTCTCTTTGGGTGATTAGCCTTTGTTTAAATACAAAGAGGAATCTACAAAGGTATATATTTCAACTCACTTTGTTTTGAGTTGATTATTGGTTCACCATTTTACTAGGCTTTGAACATTCATGGGTAATGTTTTGTTTTTAAGTGCATGCTAGCATGATTCCGCCTTTAATTTGTTAATTGCATGCTAATGATGTTGCTTAAATGAACATGTCATCTTCCAAAATAATCCTTCATTAAATTTTCAAGAAATATGATCATTTTTGTAGTGTTTATGTAGAGGATATTTTAGTACATAGTGAAAATAGAAATGAACATAGGAAACATTTAGAGATAGTTTTGCAAGAATTTATCAACAATGGAATTGTGATTAGCAAAAATAAAATAACACTAGAAAAGCAAGATATAGAATTTTTAGGATTGTATATTAAGTCAGGTACAATACAATTACAAGATCATATAGCTAAAAAAATTTTAGAATTTCTAAGTAAGTTAGAAGATAAAAAACAGTTAAAAGCATTTTTAGGATTGTCAAATTATGAAAGAAATTTTATCCCTGATTTAGGAAGAAAAATAGCAATATTACATAGTAAAACTAGCAAAACATGACAAAAGTATTTTAATAGTGAAGATATTAAATTAGTTCAAAATATAAAGGAAGAAATTACTAAACTAAACCCATTAACATTACCATTAGATGATAGTTACAAAATAGTTGAAACATATGTTTCATCATTAGATAGGCATGTATACTATACCATAAAAAGTATAAGGAGTCACCAAAATCTAACGAACAAGTTTGTAGGTATTCATCAGGAAAATTTAGTGATATACAATCATGATTACCATCAACAGATTTAGAAATTTTAGGAATAATTAACTCACTTGAGGCATTTTCTTTATTTTTACATAATGAAGCATTTACAATTAGAACAAATTGTCAAAATATAGTTTCTCATTATAATAAGATACATACTAATAAATAGGCAGCAAGGTGGGTTAATTTTATTGATTCAATTACAGGAAATGGTTTTAAACCAATTTTTGAAAATATTAAAGGCAGTGACAATACATTAGCTGATATCTTATCAAGACTAATTTATTGAACAGTAATGGAATATCGTGGACCATCATCCTCAAATAGCACAAGATTACAAGTTAGAAGAGCACATTTCAATAGCATAATGATAGATCATGGACATTCACCATTAAGTGGATTCCAAAATAGCATAAGTAGACCAACATCACCACCAATACCTACCTTTAACTTTAATGGCACTATTGTTGAAGGAATCATATATCCAACTTTATGGTATATGCCAAGGGTACCAGGACTCACTGATAGACAACATGTTCTCTTAAATAATTTTTGGAATGTTCAAATCAAACAGCTAAGCATAAGGTTATGCCATAAAAAAATTAATTAGAGGCCTAGAACAAGAGTTTGATAGTTTTAATTTTAATTTCCATCAAAACCAGCATCACATTCATTTTCTTGAACACAACCTTCAAGCCCTTTTTAGAGACCATGAGACATTACTTAGCAAGTTTACCAAAATGAACCAAGAACTCCAAACTCTTAGAATGCAGCAAAAGGCAAGTGACATCTTGAAAAGAGAATTGAAAATAGGTTTAGAAACTGATCAACATAAGAATAAAGAAAGAAAGGTTATTGAACTCATAGAACAAGAGGCTAATGAGCCCATAGAAGAAAGAGAGATTAAGATTGAGCTCTTAGAATAAGATATTGAAATGGAGCAACATCAAAATAATGAGCAGCATCAGCATCTGAGTGACAAAGAAAAACAAGAAAGATATGAAGATTTTCTTAGGAATTTATCTTTAGACTTAATAGTAGATGATATTCTATTAGAAGAAATTTCAAAAGCAAAATTAAGGATAATGCCACCGGATATGCAAAATGAGATTCTGAGCAGAGTATCACAGTCCATGAAAAAGTTACAATTACAATTACAATGTGATTTGTATCAATCCATCTTTGATCCAAAATTAGGAATGAATATTATTACAAAGATGTATCCATCATGTCTTTGTGATAGTACAAAGAATTATATTTGTAAACTAGAGGTTAGCATAGTTGTAACCACGATTAATATGAGAGATTTTAGACCATGTCATTTTAGTTATGAGCATAAGAAAAAGCATAATGTAGTAGAAGTTACCTTAGCCTTATTATTAGAGTTTGGCTATCTTGATAAAATATTCATTAACCATATTTCCCAACTAGAATCATTTCCTGAAAAACTTATAAAAGTAGCAGAAGATTATCTATAATAGTGGAAAGAAATTTGTATAAGTTTTAGTAGTAGTCCTTCAGATTGGTATGTACATATGCATAAGGAGAAAGCTAGGCATATAACCATGATTAATGAAGAATCCTTTAGGCTATCCTTTATCTCCCCATACAGGTGGACTCATTCATACAAAAATATTCTAAAATTTTGAGGGATCCAAATGCTCGTCTTAGATGAGTTTGAAGATTTTAGGTACTAGTAGCAGAAGAAGAAGAAATGTATATTTACAGTAAGACAAAAATCAGTCATCAGCCTTACTGGAAACCTCAAAATTTCAAAGGAGAGAAAGCATATATGTATTACAAGGTAAAAGAAGACAGGGAAAGAGATGCAGAGCTCGTAGAAGGCGATGAACAGTACTAGAACAATTTAACAGAAAAAGTGTTGCATAACATCGATAACATGATGAAATCATGAAGAGCTGGCGGCAAATTAGCAAAAGATAGTATAAATTGAATAACATCATGGAAAATAATGTATTTTAATCAGACAGAAATATCAATATCATTGTGGACCCCACTACAATAATGAAATAATGGCATAAGAGTAAATAAAGAAAGTGCTTGACCAATTATAGACTTTTTATACAAAAAAAATGTCATTTTGATTAAGAATGAATAGTAATAAGCCCTTTTTATCTAATAAAAAAAGGTAATGAGACATCAATATTGTAATTATAAACATTATTATTATAATTCAATCACATCTAAGTTTAAAAATCTATTGTTACAATGTAATAGAACGTCTTTAATATAACTACTAACTTTGTTAGAATAATAACGTCATTATGTAATTAACTATAACTTTACTGTATTATTGTTCGAATTAAATGGAATTGATACCATTTTTTAAAGTAAAGGTACTATATAATCCTCTTTTCATAGACCATTATTTGCTGAAAATCCTAACAACATAACTTGAGTAGGACTCGTGTTGTTTGAAGAATAATTAGCTAGAATCAATGATTTTAATTCATAAAGGTCCAATACGTGTTAAAGTATTAAACAGTTCAAATGGTTAATTTAATAATCAACAATTATGTCAAAATTTATAATATTTGATCAGAATAATTGGTCTCTTTAACATTAAATAACGTAAAAATCTTATAACAATCCAAATATTCTATTAATTTAGTTCATGGGTCTACCATGTCGCTCTTTCATGATAGCTTTCATGATTAGATTGTTCTTTGTAAGGCAAGAATCAAATATTAGGATGATCTTAAAGGGCAGATTAATAACTACATATAAATAGAATCCTGGCTTTGGCTTTGGTTTGTTCATACTTCTGACCTAATATGAAGTCCAGCTCTGGTCAGTTCAGACTACTGACTAATGTGAAGTCCAGCTTTTTTTAGTTTAGTATTTATTGTTTAGTTATACTGAAAAGATGATGAAGTAACTTTGACACCAAAAAAAAAAAAAAAAAAAAAATTAAAGAGGAAAAAAAAGAAAGATGATGATGAAGTAAAAGCTTGATATGATGCACGCATGCTTTGAAAATAATTATGTAGAGAAGGCAACTATGGTTGTTGACAAAAAAAATTATTATTTTTATCACATTTTCCATACATGTAATATTTGGGTGCTCACTACTTTTGATTTTGTCTAATGATATTTTAAAACATCTTTTATTGTCTTAAAAAAATAATGGACATGTTATTAGTTTTTTTGAGCTTTAAAAAATAAGGAACACGTAACATTTTTTTATTGTGTCAAATCAGAAAGTGAGTACATAGAGTACTCAGTAGTGAGTATCTAACTATTATCATTTCCATACCATATTTGTGCCACTTCTCTAATAGAAATATGACCTACATGTGTTGGTGAGCTCTACCTCTATTAGAGAGGTGATACAAATGTGGTATAGAAAATGTGATATGTGTCATTACTCTATTGACAAATTAGCTAATGTAGAGTTGATCATGCCTTGAGTTGTTTGACACGATAGTCCATCCTAATAGATTGTTTTATTTTTTTCTCTACATTCGAATATTTTGGACATCTTAGCCTTTGTCTTCCCTTCTTAATGTGTAATTTTTTTTTTTAATTTCTAATCATCTGTCTTCTTTGTTTTGTAGCTTGTTTTGCAGGGTTCATATCTTCTCTATATGCACGTAAGTTGATAATATATTTATACTGTATAGGATGTTGGATCCAGTTTACCCATACGACCAAAAATTTTAGGCATGACAATTTCGTTTATTGCGTGAAAATTATGCTAGATCTATTATTAATTTCCACTATTTCCCAACACATTATCTATTACAAAAGTCATAATCTGTATTTTTTAATCACCCACTCAAATTCTGTAGCCTATTTGTTGAAGTGAATTATTGCATCAAGAATAAAGAATGCATATATATATATATATGAATAGTGCTATTACACCCAAAACCCTAACTCCAATTTATAAACAAGCCCAACTTCCGAAGGTACAACCCTAATTAAAGGAAGCCTTAAGAGCCATTAGTTTATGAGGGCCTGAAAACACTCCCCACCCAGCTTTTTTTGCCCCCACTTTAGAAAAAAGCAAAAGCATGAATAAAAAAAGATATTACTAAACAACTGAACTAGAAAATGGAAAGAAAAACATACAATATGCAAAGTTTCTCAACCCCACCCTCTATAAAAAAAAAAATTAAGGGTCATAGACTTGAGCTTCTTCGACCTCATCCGAGAAAGCAAACAGTACTCATAAAGCTTTAGCGAGCAAAGTCTTGTTTGGGTGCATATACAGGGAAATGTACGAATTTGAGAGCGAGAGAGTCTGAGAGACAGAGAGAGAGGAAAACAAAGAGAAATTCTTTTCTGGTTTCCTTGCGTGATCTTTGGATCAAAGGAGCAAGCGCATGAACTGAACAAGTGTTTTTTGGAAGTGGTCTTAAGAGCAACAAATGATGGCCGGAAACCCTAAGTGGTGGAGCAGCATGCATCCACCATCTCTCTACCCTTCTGAATATGTGCAGCTTGGATCTTCTAGTTCACTCCCTCTGAATTCTTTGCCTGACCATAACCTAGAGCCTCCACAATCCTGGAGCCAGTTACTCTTGTACCCCTCTCTCTCTCTCTCTAGATTGATCTTTGACACAGTATTGTGTTATGAACTGAAATTTTGAATGTTTTCATCATTTTTCAGGGGTGGATTGTCCAGCCAGGAAGATAGCTTTGGTACCCTGAGTCATCATTTTCAACCTAAAAGTAGTTTGAAAAATTGGGAGGAGGACCAAATCTTGATTCCACAATATCCAAGGGCTCCTTTTCCTCCTCATGGTGTTGATAATATTATAAAGCAAGAGGGTAGTTCCCAGAACAGCATTAACTTATTGGGCAGTACTCGTCATGTAGACGAAGAATTTCAGCCGCAGGCACCTGGCAGCAGGCCGCCTGTTTGGTCCCCAGTTCAAATCATGCCAGTTTCATCCCCTAGGTCTTGTGTCACTAGTTCAAGTAATACTAATAATATATTGGACTTCTCCTATGACAAAACTGACAATAAGAGGAACCAACATGCAGATCACTCATCTGAGGTAATTAAGGGAGAATTATATCCCTTCCAATATATATATATATGGTTTTCTTCAAGTTTTGTCTTGATGTTCGTTAGACTATGTTTCCATATGCATGTTGTTTGTACTAGTGTAATAGCACTGCCACTGGTGGGATAACCAAGAAGGCCAGGGTTCAACAATCGCCAAGCCAACCACCTCTCAAGGTAGCAAAATTAATCTCTCTTCTTTTTAATTAGTAGTTGTAGTTTTCTTTGATCACTTATAAAGTGAAATTAAGTAAATCTCTTGTGGTTAGTTTGGTGACCAATATATATGATCGAACCATCATCAAAATAAACAAGTGCTAAATTAACTATCTTCTAACATGAATTTTCTTATAAATCTACTATGAACCAGGTCAGGAAGGAGAAGCTAGCTGATAGGATAACAACCCTTCACCAACTAGTTTCCCCATTTGGGAAGGTGAATACTGGGAATTTCATATTTGTTGAGGTTTTTTGTTTTGTTTTGTTTCCTTTTTCCATGATAAAATCCAACGAAAAGATTTTTTTTTTTTTTTTCTCTCCAAAAACTCAGATCGAAGCGCAGTTCTTTTACTTCTTTATTCGTATTTTACTTCACTTGGATTCTCTCTTTAACATTAAAGAGGACCAGAGAGAGATGACTTATAAAGGGTTTGCTGTGGTATGTGCATGTTTATTTCTCTTTTGCAGACTGACACTGCTTCAGTCCTGTTAGAAGTCATTGGGTATATCAGATTCCTTCAGGGTCAAATTCAGGTGATGTTTCCATCAAAATTATATCTATATATATGTATATATATATATATTATACATATATATTATACACTCTACTCTGCTAGCAACTCAGAATCAGTGAGAGCATGCACTTAATGCTTCAATAATTCATGCTTTTTCTTACCTTCTTTAGTTATATGGATTATGGAAGTCATGAACTTTATTCCTTTTTCCCTTCCCTTTGTTGCAGGCACTCAGCTCCCCTTACTTGGGCAGTGCCTCAAAAAACATGAGGAACCAACAGTCTGTAAGTACCTATGTCCCATTTCCCAAAGCATAACCAGTTTAGTGCATTTTTCACCATTCTAAATCGGTGGTGAGTGCCACTACTGTATAGATCATTGTTAGATGTGTGTGTGATTTAATCTATCTACTACATAATCTTAAAATTTAATCTTATCAAATGACAATACGGTGGAGCAAAAATATTTCTTAACAATTTGTTCCAACTCTCTCTTTCACTCTCCATCTCTCTCTCACACACATTCATACTTTCAGAAACTAAGCATGTGGACTAGCTAACTTAATTAATTAATTATTGTGTCTTAATGAATTAGAATAATATAATTGATGAAGGAGAATTTAATTACTTTAGGTTACAAGGAGAAAGGAATTGCGCATTTCCTGAAGACCCTGGTCGGGTAGGCTTTATTGGATCCATTACCCCATCAAAATCAAGGAGGGGAGGCTTTGAATATATAAATTAAAGCATCTAACAAATTAATTATTTTATTCATGATAAAGAAAAGCACTCAAGGAACAAGCTAGGTTCTCAACTTGACAAAAACTTTAGTAGAATATTAATTTAAAGTAAATTAAAAACTTAATATGCTTTTGGATCATAAACTATAGTCACTATACCTAACTAGAATTTGGAATCAAAAGTTGAATTGATGATATAGAAATTGACATTTAAATTACTGGTCATATGGTGATACCCTCTTTTTGTCTCTTTTACCCTTTTAGCTGTTGGGTGACAACTGCTTGAAAAACAAAAGCGCTCCTAACCAGGTGCATATTGTGAATTTGATTGATTTTTTTTATGATAATTACAGGAATCACAAGATCGTAAGGCAAAGGATCTGGGAAGTAAAGGGTTGTGCTTGGTTCCTGTGTCATGCACTCAGCATGTTGGGAGTGACAATGGTGCTGATTATTGGGCTCCTGCTTATGGAAATGGGTTTTAATTAACCCTAAATGCACGTTTTTTACTGTAGGATAGGATGAGATAACATTATGAGCAGTCAATCTGTTGCAATTTAAATTAAGGTTGATTGGCCATGATGATATGCATTCTAAATTAGATTTGTGTACTATTGCTAGCTTTATATTGTACTGAATTACTAATTAAATAAAAACTCAATGAAGTAGTAGTAGTATTCTTGTAGGAAGAAGTACTCCATATGCATCTCTCTTTATCTCTCTCTTTTGATGTGTAGCTTCGTAAAGATCTTGCAAGTTTAATTATTCTAAGGATTGAAAAAACTATTCATTTGGACTAGAGACATAAAATATATCAAGTTAAATTGAATAAAATGAACATTTTTTATTTAATAAGTGCGTGCTAATATTTGTCGATGATCATTTGGTTTAATACATGGCCTCCACTTTGTTGAAGGTCGAAGGTCCTGGGTTGAAATATTTTGAACAACAGGTGTTGATAAACAAAAAGAAAAGGAATGATATTTATTTTTTGAACTAATAATTAATTCAAGTTGCAGCTCGAGAGATCATACTTAGTTGAATTCTTTACTTCGAAAAAGAAGAATGACAACCAATATTAACACTAGGATTTTGATGATAAGGAAATAAATTAGGCTATATATTGAAGTGGCAGAACAATATTGAAATAGTTATGATGATATAATGTTGATGACATTCTCCACAGAATTCTTTTCTTCGGTTTTTTATGCATGTTTCGTTTCCAAAATTTTCCTAAATGCTTATTATATAATGGAAACTTCAATCATGCGTTCATGTTGTATGCATCAAACAAATTCGCCATCAAGGCGCCAGTCTTGAGAATTCGAAGCAGGGCCCTAAAGTTCTTTGACTCCTGGTTCTTTGTAACTTGATATGTATAAAAAAAGAATTCGCTAAATACATAAAAATAATAATAATAAATAAACTATTTCTACATCAAATATCATTAAAAATTAACATCAAAAGAAGATAGATATACAAACATTACTCACATATTACACGTCTCACGTTTTTAGGTACAAATGTACTAAATGTTTGTAGTCAGGAGTCTAAGATTAAGAGTGAAGAACAATAAAACTTGATGATCAAGAGAGTAAAGAACAATAAAACTTGATTCACAAATATAATAAATTCAACAACGCCAATTGTTTCTCTTGTGTTTTTTCTAAAATAAACATCGCACTAATGAATCTAATATTAAAATAATCCATTAAATAATAAAATATTAAAAAGAAAATTATACATTTAAAGTTTTGATTACCTTGTGACAGTTGATTTAAACATTCGATAGAAATTGAGAGATTGGGAAGTTGAAAGAAAAAAAAAATTGCAAAGGGACTTGATTTTTATAACTTTATGTGCAATTGGACAAATGAATTGGGAGTAAATTTGAAAACCAAGAAAAAACTAGTGACTAAAAAGGCAACTCCATGTTTAGAACTCAACGCCCAAAGAAAAAGGAAGCTGACCATTCTACTGCACCAACAAATGAATTATGATATTTCTTACTTTTTCTATATTTATATGTTATTTATAAGATATAGGGGCCTTCTGAAGTAGGGGCCCTAGGCGGGCGCCTCCAAGAACTATCCTCACGACCGGCCCTGTCACAACAAATTAATTGTCATTCACAAACTTTAAAATTAAGATCTCATCTAACGAAGTAAAAACAAATCTGATTAGGCCAAATAATCATTGATTTACATAGAAGGTACATGGCTTCTATCATACAAGAGACCATAGAGATAAGTTATATGAAACTTTTGGATCTAGATATCTCAGATTTTACTCGAGTATGCTTCTTACACTTACATTGTAAATCGTTCATTATAATCTCACTTCCTCTCACACATCCTATTACTACTACAAAAAACACTTTGCACGACGAAATAAGTTTGTTGCGCAAAGTTTTGCGTGATGAAATTTTGGTTGCGCATGGTTCGTCTCGCAAAGCTTGTGACGATAGGGTTTGCGCGACAAAATACTTCATCGGGCAAAAATACTTTGCGCGACAAAATATTTTAAATTTGAATTTTTTGTTTTTAAATTTTTTTAATTAAAATAAATTAATTTGATATTTTGCGCGACGAAATATTTTGTCGAGTAAGGTTTTTGACTTTTTGTTTTATTATTTCTCTTATATTATTTGTTTATGCAACGAAATATTTGGTAGTGTAAGATTTTCCAAATTTTTACTTTTTAAATTTAATTTAATTTTATGATTTTATTTTTTTAATTACTTTAATTTAAATTGACATATTCAAAATAAAATTACATATGAAAAATAGTGATCAAATTATCCAATATATATAATATATTCAAAATGTACACATAAATTAACAAAGTACAATAATAAAATCCTAATACAAGTCTATTGAGGTGGTAGTTGCGGGGGATATGTTTTGATAGCGTTCTAATCGTCAACTTTAGCCGTCAAAGTCTAGACAATTCCCTACCAAAAAAAGATATATGGTCAAATAACAAAAAAAAAAACAAAAAACAAAAAATTGCATAATCTCCCCTAAAATTGGTATACCCCAAATCCGACCCGAAACTCCACTCCTCATCCTATACTTGACCCCAAACCCCGCACCAAACTCAAAACTAACTCCAAAAACACATACTAATGAAAAAAATTAAAATTTGGGGAGAATATACCTTTTGGCAAGATTGAGAGTGAGTGAGAATGAGAGGGAGGAGTGAGTGTGAGAGAAGTAGAGGAGATAGTGAGAGAGAGAGATGAGAAAGTGAGTGAGAGTGAGAGATAGTGAAGAAAGAGAAGAGAGATTAAGTGAGAAGAGTGAATGTGCGAGAGAGGGTCGGATTTGGGGAAAGGGAAAGATAGAGGAGAGGTAAGAGTAGAGAAAAACATTGAGAAAATTGTAGAGGAGCTATTTTGGTTTTAAAAACAATATCACTTTGCATGACAAAATATTGGTCGCGCAAAGTCTTAAAAAAAATTAAAAAAAAAAATTCCCACATCCCATTTTTTTCCCCACCCAAATTTTTAGAGTTTTGTGCTATGAAGTGTTGGTCGCGCAAAGTTTTGCACGACGAAGTATTGGTCGCGCAAAGTTTTAAGCAACGAAAAATTGGTCATGCAAAGTTTTGCACGACCACTAAAAAAATTTTAAAAATTTCCCGCGGGCCATTTTTGGTGCCCACACAAATTTTTAGAGTTTGGTCACGCAAAGTTTTGCATGACGAAAAACAAAATTTATAAAAATAATTTTTATAAATAATAAAATTTACTAAAAATGTGACTTTACTCCTTTCAAATTCTTTTTTTTTTTTTTTTTTTTTACATAAAACCCACAATAATATATTTTTTTTTAACAAAAACCCAATCCGCACTACAATAATAAATTTAAAGCTACTTAATAAATATATATATATATATATATATATATATATATATATACACCATTCAATTTCTTAAGTGTTATACGTACAAAATAAATAAATTTAAAGCTACTTAATACACACACACACACACACACACATACCATTCAACGATCCAACCGTCAAACTTGTTTTTATGTACTTCAATATCATATATGCCAAATGACACACCCCGATCGAAATCAAGGCGTGCTGACCGTCACGTGAGGGTGACGTAGCGATGTGCACAGTACGGAAGCAAAAGATAATAATAAAAGTACGAATAAATAAAAACCAAACTACTAAGGAAGCAAGTTAAAGTAATACGCAAGTGTAAGACTAAGTGTGATAAACATAATTAGAGCACAAAAACCTAAGTGCAGTACAGAAGAACGAATACTAATTACACAACACCCAAAGGTGATCCTACATTTGTGATGTTTTGTCAGAACCACCGTCAAGTCCTCGTGAGCCACCAAAGCGCTTCTAACTAGAACCTGGAGGGGCGCAAAACAGAAAGTGTGAGTGGGCAAAAACAAAGTTTTTCAAAATCATTTCATTCTCAAAAGTTCTAACCCCTCTCCATAAAATTTGTATAATTTCCCAGAAAATAGAATATATAAATATATCACAACTATGCTCAGAGTAGCAACATTCACAAATATGTATGTAGGTAAGCCATGTCAACTAACTCAGCACATGATGTAAGTAACCCAGGTAATGTCAATCAATGCAGAAAATATGTCAGCCGGAGTCACCTAACGTGACCTGTACGGCTGAATCTAGAGCTCAAATCCACAACTCAATCACTACATCTGCACACGAGTCGGAATCACCTAAAGTGGTCTGTACGACAGGACTGGGTGCAAATAAATACACTCAAGTGCTACGATCACGTGAAGATTGTGCGAATAATCGCGGGTCACCTACGAGTCGGAACCACCTAAAGTGGTCAGTACGACAGGACTGTGCACCTAACTTGGATCCAAGATGAGCGTGTGGTGCGGGAGGTGAACATCACGTGAAAGACTGTGCCCTACTTTGGGCGGGAGAACTAACACCGGGGTGCAGGTTTATGAGCTCTCAATATATCTCACATAACCACTAATTCACAACCATAATCTATAAACTTACCTGTGCGTCCGCAGCACCAATCACAAATATATGCAACTAATAATGCATAATTAAAATAGGCAAAGACTATGCATGGCATTTAAAACATATAAACATTCAATTTCATTTTCTGAGAAAAACCACAAGTATATAGGTATATACGGAAAACCAAAAGCCCACTCACTAGTATGTGGAAGGGTCGTAACCCCCGAGCCTTGAGTGACTGTGCTCGTCCTCAGGATAGGTCTCACCTATATGCGAAACAACAATAAAAACATCAATTTAAAACACATAACCAAAACTAGGTAATAACTTCTCATAAAATGCTCAAATGGGGTGTTTGGATACACCAACGTGATCTACTTAACCTCACGAACATCCCCCATATTTTTAAAATAATTTTCTAGCCTCCCACGCCCCACCACGCGCCGGCACGTGCCTGGCACACGTGTGGTAACCCTAACAAGGGAATATTTCGTCCAAAAATGGAATATACCGTTATATATACCTGACGCCGTTAGTATATTCCGTCAAAATTGATGGAATATTTTTTGTCTTCTTCGGTGACTTTCGTCGGCTGCCGCCGTTTGCAACTCGAATTCTCGTCAGAAACTGGAAAATTGTCAAAACTTCATATCTTCTTTATTTCTTAACCAAATTCCATGAAATTGGTACCAAAATGAAGCTTACAATGAGTA